TAAAAACCCTAGTCGCAGCGCTCGGCCAAGAAAGTGTCTTAACCTAACCTAACCTTAAAATATATACTAATCTCTTTCTCTCTTGAAATTCAACGCTGCAAGTGCACATAAATTCCTCGGGAAATTGACCGTTTCTTTAAACAAGAAAGTGTATTCATCCTTTTTAAAACTCTTTACCCAAAAATTAATCTATTTTCCCCCAAAAATCTGTTGTCTTCCTAATTCAGAGAATTTAACCCACTATAAACTGCAACGATTATTAACATCCTAGGAAAATAAACAATTTTTAAAGGGGGGGGGGAAAAATGACTTTCCAAGAAAAAATAAACCCCTAAAATGTTATCTGAAAAGAACCCCGCCAAAGAATTCCTATCACTGAATTATTGATATTATGATGGATGTAAGATTTGTACTAAACCTTATTAAATTGCATGCAAATTGCTCCTCCTAGCTTTTCATTCAATCCTGATAAGAATTCAGATTCAGCAAACTTTTCCTGGAAATAAATTATTACTTTAAATGAAACGTTTTAAATATTTTAATTTTTCATATCGTGATTATATTTGTATGCTTCATGATCTTGCTATTTTTTTATGCAAGAACAAGAAAAAAGGTCTTTTGAGGCTTAAACACAATAGTGTTTAAAGTTTCATATTCCTTTATCTTCTAAATTGCGCTTGCTGTTGAAAATTTGATTAAATATTATATTACAAACTTTTTAAAATATAAGTGAATGCTGATGGTGTAACGCAAAGACAAATTCTTTTTATATACAAGATGTTTTGTTTGCTACAATTTTTTTTAAAGTCGTAATGTTGATATTAACCTTCATGATAGACTGCAGAGTATCCATAGGAGTTGTAGAGTTGGTCAAACCTTGTCCGCACTCCTTAGCGAGTAGGGTTCGGACCAGGTGCTCTCCACAACCTTACAATTCAACAGGGGTATATATTTTAAACAATTATTTTCGAAGAATTAAAAGGGGGGGGGGATTGACTTACAGGGACTGTAAGCGAAATCTCAAGTGACCCTTCATGCAAAGATTTACAACGTTATCCTTTAAACCGCTGACCGTTCATCTAGTACAGAGAGCTGTTTGTTTAAATATCTTTAAAACCACTTTAATTCCTTTAAAATACGGTGTACGCTCTGTACAGTTTAACCTCTACACAGCTGATGCACTACTTGTATACCTTGACGGTTTCCAAAAATTCGAAAGAAAACAATAATTTTCTGTAAATTCTAGAAACTGAATATTAATATTTTATAAACTTATAATTTGCAAACAAAGTGTTTAACAAGTTGACGCGTTTTTAACTTTTTATAGTCCAGAGTCTAAAACTAAAGAATGCGCGAATTTTAAGTTCGAGGTTAAAAGTTCTGAAAAATAATGAATAGCTACTTAAATATTAAATTTTCTCAATTTTAAATTCCCGGGAAAATATGAACCAATCAGAGAAAAGAATTATTACGTAACTATTGGTAATCAGCTGATTTTAAATTTTAAATTATTTACGTGACGGAAAACAAAACATATTTCCAGTTACAACCGTATTTTGGGTTTACGTGCAAACATTAATTAATCTAAAACGTGAAATTTATTAAATATATCGTAATTAGTTGAATGCTCCTTACCGCCATGAATGATGATAGGCAAATAGGGATTGCGGGATTTAAAAGTTTTAACCCTGTGTTTAAATTTTAACTCGTCGATTTCGGCGAGTTAAATATTTAACCTCATGGTTAAAGTTCAGGTTTAAATTAAGTCAGAAGTGGCATTTAACCATGAACTTAAAATTTAAGTCAAAACTTTTCGTTCTTTAGTTTTAGACTCAGTTGAAGGGTTTACGGGTACGGTTATGAATCGGGCATTGTCATCTTTGCATGAAGGGTCACTTGAAATTACGCAATTACAATCCCTTTAAAAAGGAAGTTTTTCCCTCTTATTGAAACTTTTATTCATAAAAAATTTACCTAAACATTTGTTTTTGCTTGATGCAAAAAATTCTTTAAATTTGATAAAATATTTTCAAGAAAATATAAACCATCTAATAGTACCAAAACCCCTAGAGTACAAATTAAATATCAGTTACATTTCAAATAAAAAGGTAAAAATCAAAGCAAAGCTGAAAATCGGATTAAAAAATCAAAAAATGGAATTGTATCTATTTATGACAACTGTCTTGTGTAAGTGTTATCAAGCAAACCACAATGATTTCAGGCCGATTAAAAATTTTGAATTTAAACCGAAGACGAATAAAGTAAAAATCACAACAAAAATCATAATTCCCAAATGATAGCAAACGACAGTTGAATATATACCTGTTGTGCTGACCCCTACGCTACAACTGTCCTTTTTTATTGGTCTCTGAGCCCAACAACCACAGCCATAACAGCTTGCCTTAATTAAAGGTAGAATTTAATGAAAAAAATAAAAAATGATTAATCTTTAATCAAAGAACATGGAGGCTTAAAAGGTCAATATCTTATCACCATTTACTATATGGGAACCCAGCTTTGCTTGGAAACTAAAAATGTTCTAGATGAGTCCGAAATTCAACTTTTAAACCGAGCTCAGAAAATTCGCGTGGTTCTATCGAAAGCTTGTACATAGTTTATTTTATATATCTATAACGTATTCTTAAAATTCTACAAAATAAAGTGGTTCTTTCTTTTAAAGATTGAACTTACAACTGATTGCTCGTCTTTACTCTGAGAGAATGTATAGAGTGAAAAGTACTCAGGGTTACGGTCTGCTCAGCAGACTCCAAACAAGGTAGAGATACTGATAGATCCATTGAAAAGTAGGGTGGTCCATTTGGTTTTCTTACAGAATATATTATATAATCTACCAAAATTCAAAATATTAAAATATTAAAACTACTAACAAATAAAACAATTTTGTAAAAATCAAATTACAAATGAGCCAGTGCTTTGCCATCAAACACCTGGAAACTCAATAATTATTAAATTTTTGATTGCTTTCAGATGGGTACAAAATGCGTCATGACTGGTTGAAACAGATCCACCTATACATATAGCATTAGTTTGTTTGTTTTCAGAAGTCCAAAAAAGTGCCTTAGTTAAATCTAAATTTGAGGCAAATCGGTCATGGGATTATGATCCGACATGTTATAAAATCCAACAACCAAACTGGCAAACAGAATACAAACTACCTTATATATATATATATTTATATATATACAATATATATATATATTTACAATCAAAACTGGGTTCCCAAGCTAGTATATGAATATATATATATATATATATATATATATATATATGGGAACCCAGTTTTGATTGTAAATCAAATTTCAGAACATTTTATTAAAACAAACTAGTTACTCAGAACATTACTGTGGTTCTACCGAGTTTCCCTATCAAAATTTGTGACCAATCTATCAAGGATTCATGATACAAACAAACAGAGATTACTAATTTATATATGACACGTGCATAGATAGATGTTACTGTTTAATCTTAAGTGCAAGACTGTACCTGACCAACTCGTCCCGATTGTTTAAGAGCAATCCCTCCACTGGATACACTAGCAGCTACATGCCCCTCACGATCCAGGACTACAACACCAACAGTGTCCCCCACACGATCATCTTCAACAGGAAGGTCGTCCTCGTCTTGTTTCCCATCCTTGTCCTGATGCTGGTTCTCGTGCTTACGTATATAGTCATGGTGAAGGTGTGGGGCCGGGATAGGATTACAAGAATCAACGTTAAAACTTTTCAACTCGTTGTTCAGAGCTTCAGTGCTGTTCGTACTTTCTGTACTGATAAGTAGGTCCCCTTGCCCCAGCATTAAGTCTCCATGAGTGCTGGTTGCTATGAGTAGGTCCCCAGGATCAACAGATACATCACCGGTGTTAAAGGGATTTTCAAGTGCAAATTTATTCATGGAATGTTGCTGAGTTAAATCACATTTCCCTTGAGTATTTATTTGAGGAGTTGAGTTATTAGATGACTCGAGGGAGTATCTTGCTAGAGGCTTGGTATTAGAAGGAGGGGCTTGTGCTGAAGAACGGGGCATATGGTTGGCAGCTGTGTATTTCAGTGGGGTATTGGCTTGTGGCAGATGAGATAAAGAATGAGAGAACGTGTAGGGATTTTGCAGTAACGGATAAATATTGCATCCTTCAAACAGAGCATAATATTAATTACGAGGATGTGGATATATAAAATATTGAACCCCCCCCCCCCCATCTTAAAAAAATAGATTTAAAAAAGATAATCTTTTTAACCAATGAACCAATATTATGATCAAGTTCCTGAAGTAGATTGTTCATCAGTTGGATTGATTCTATCAATGGTTACTTCATAAAGGTTTCGGTACATCTGAACAAAAAATAATATGTTCAAATATCTAAGTTTTACAAGTGTACACTGTATATTCTTGCAACTACGGTTTTATTTGATAAAATCACAAATAATTAATAGAAATAAATCTAAAAAATTTTATTTTTCATGAAAATCTGAAATTTTTTATTTTTAATGAAAATCTGAAAATTTTAATTTTTGATGAATTAATTTTATGGATAAATGAATTGATTGATTCCATGCTTAAATCCAGAACTACCTGATTAGAATCCTCGAAATCTATGGAATTTCCGTCCAGAAGTCTTGTAGCTCCGTCATTGCTTCTGAACAATTATGATTTTACAATATTTTCACGCTCCATTTAATTTAGGATAAAATTGGTCTCCATAAACTTGATGCATGTTTTCATCTTGAAACTAAGAGTGAAACTATTTCATCGTAAATCTCAAATCCTGTTTTTACCAGCAAAAAATTTTGCAGTGACAAATAAGAAGATAAAATAATAAAAGAAAAAATTGGAAAAAAAACTTAATTAGTGATAAACGTTTTAAAAAAACATATATCATAAGGGAAGGTCAACTTTTCAATTTTTAAAAATATGTTGATAACAGATGCGCCCTAAACCACTGAAAACCGTCTGTTTGTCCGTTTTTCGATACTTCAAATATTGTTATATTCAAGGCTAGACAACTATTTTTTAATACCAGGGTTGGATTATAATTTGATTACTTTCCAAGGGATTTTTAAGATTTTAACGTTTCTGTTTGAAGGCAGATATTTTAATATCAATCGTCATTTATTTGGCCGATTTGGTTGTTCAGGCGTAAACTAGTGAAAATTTTGTTGATACAAAAAAAGCATTAGTCTGAAAATTATAATAAAAATCTCAAATCTTTTTTATCACTATATTAAAGAAAACTTTAGAACGGTGCAAGGTGGATTAGAGCACTTACAATACAATACAAAAAAATGCCTCATAGTTTCACACTTCCTGAAGTGAACATAAAAGTTAAATTCAGTGCTTAGGATTATGAACCATTCAGAAATGAGGAAATTTATGATAATCTATCGTTTTTCAATAGTTCAGATTAGGTTTTAGAACGTAAAAGTATTTTTGTAGTATTTGGTTGATATTTTGCTTTTTGGATCCGGGTCCGTGGATCCGCATATTTTTGCGGATCCGGATTCTAAGCACTGTTTGAACTACCTGACATGTTCAGCTAGTGAGAGATGCTGGGCTGTTCTCAATCGTTTACAAGAATTAAATGAACTGCTGTCTCCTTGCTTTCTTTTCGTGTTCTCCTCTACACTTAACTTGTACAGATCCAACTTCTTCTTGTAATGCTGTAAACACACAAACATGGCAATCAATTAATAAAACTTTTAAATCTTTTAGGGACACCCATGCCCACGTCAAAATCTCATCATGGCTTTTATATTAATATTAATATTAGATCTACGGAAGAAATGAAGAAACTTTACATTTCTCTTGATTCGTATATTTTGGAACATTTTGTAATAATTGTTATGCAGTTAAAAACCCCATCGCTCAGGACTTTAATTGAGAGAAGAGTTTATAAAACTTCCATGTTTGGACCATTTCTGATTGTTTTAGTTGTAGAAATCCACAAATCCCTTCTCTCAAGATCACTAGTTGTCAATGCGAGTTAAACTGTCGCGTCAGACAGAAAATTGAGTGTCTTAATTAATTCAAATTACGATCTACTTGTTACTTTGTCTACATATCTATATATATCTGTTTGTACCCAATAAACGTCATAAGAGCTGAGTTTAACCGGCCGGGCCACACATATAACCCCAGGGAAGGTCAAAATTAAACCATTAAGTCCCGAAAAAAATGTCGAAAACCATTTTTGAAAATGGGCAAATTTCAGAATTATTAAAAACTAGCTGAAAGGCACGGCGTTGCCCGTGGGAAAAAATGTTGAAAAAAAGTTTTTTAAAAAAGGTTGAAAAAAACATTTTTTTAGACTATAACACCCCCCGGCCACCCGTGAGTGTCCACAAAAAATTTCAGCCCAATCGGTCCAGCCGTTTGGTCGACTATACGCAACATATATATATACATATACGAACGTCTTGTTTTATTATATAGATGGCCAGTGGCCACTCTCAGAGTAACAGTTAAAAAGCTGAAATTGGTAATAGGAAAAAGAGCGCGAAGCACCCTAAAAATCAAATATTAGTAGCATTTATTGTTAGAAAAATACCTTGTATAGTTTGGCAGCTTTGTCGCTAATGAGATTCTCTGACTTGACGGTTTGTATACCGTGTCTCGCCGCCCATTCCTTGGCCCCCTCCCCCACCAGGAACCCAGGGGGGACACGACCAAGAGGAAGCAACCCTGCAAGTTCATGCTCATAAAACAAACAAGAAATAATAGAAAATACAGGGATAATTTCCCAGTGGAAATATATGAATAATTTCCCAACGAAAGAATTTTGGATTTCCCCCCTTATGACACTCATTAATATGCTAGGAGCATTTTTGATTCATAACATAATAATTAGAAACAATTAAGAAATGAAATCTATTGAATACACCGTAATGAACCCCCAGCCACACAAACCTCAGACAGACTTTTTAAACAGTTATCTGATCAAAAGTGAAAAATATCGTCGGTTTTTTAGCTCAAAAAGTGTAAACTTATGACAATTTTCTACATGGTTTTAGTTGCAAAATCCGCAATTCACTTGAGAAGAGGAACCACAATTAAAGATCACAAATCTTAAGATGTGAAAAATCAAATCTTTTTTCATTTTGACCATACAAAGCTATGCTAAATGCTGATCTAAAAATAAAGAATCACATTAAATAATAAATATTAATTGAAACCAGCTAATATTTAAAAGAAAAAATGCTTATCCAATCCACCAAAGAAAAGAAACTATCTGTTCAAAAACTGACCTAGTTTCTGTTCATCAACTAGCTTTCGGGCAACCTGGATCGGATTCTTGACCTAGATGACAACAATTTTAATAATAAACAAAAAAATAACTCTTAATTTATCAGATAACACAGATTTGTCGTATATAAATATGGTGTTAGGTACTTTCTCTTAAAGACGCCTTCCCAAGTGACAATTTTCAAAATGGCTAATTCCCAAATATACAATTTCCCAAGCAGCAAACTCTCAAAAGTAAGGTTAAGCCTTCTCAAAAGCCGGAGGCTGCAATGGGACCGAGTTTGCGGCAAGGAAAGATTTGGGAAGTTTCCACTGGGAAAAAAGTCCTTGGGAAAGTACCTAACATCATAAATATCCATACCCTGTGGTTACCTCTGTAATAGCTCCAACAGCACCAAAGAGTAGAGACGTTCCATCCATCAATCCTGCATCCATCTCAATAGTACCAGATTCTGTCAGGTTGGATCCATACCTTACAACACAATATATTACTTAACCGAATGTTCATATTTTTTAAAGAAAATCGGGGAACACAAAAATCAAGTGTAGAAATCATAGTCTTATCTTACAGATGCGCTGGTACCAATGGTTTAAAGAGTTTTTAATCTTTATTCTTCTGTTATTTATACACTGAAATATACAATTTGAGAGATCCAAATGATAAAATGTTACATGTTCTACAAGGTGCTGACTGCTGATACAACCAACTAAACAATACCAATTTTAAAGTAACAAAACTAAGAAAAAGCTCATTAGGCGGACAACCTTAATTATATCCTTTGACTTTTAATGAGTATCTGAAATAAATGACGATTGACATTGTCCTTTAATTTTAATTTTTTAAGAAGATTAAAAAAATTCTGTCGGTGCACCATTCATGCAAAATGGAGATTCTTAAAATAAAAATACATATAAATCTATAAATATCGAACGCCGCCTCTTTTCCTGATTGTCAATATTTTTGGCCATATTTTCCGTTTCCAACAGCGGATCCGGATCCAGGAAGCTTTAAAAAGTGCGGATCCAGATAAATATGAGTTGTTACCCGGCATTAGTTTCTCCTGCATCTTCAAGTATCATAGTAGCAAACTCGGCAGCATCCAGGGCGGATCCTAGTCATTGTTTACATATGGTAAATGAGCTACAAAAAAATCTTGAAAAATCATCCCCCTCCCCCCCCCCCCNCCCGCACGTCCTGTCAATTTTGTACACGACCACTAATTATTCAGCATTTTAGGGTTAGGTTAGGTTAAGACATTTTCTGGGCCAGCGCCGCGGCTATGACAGGATAGAGGGCCGAGTGCTGCGGGTGGGACAGGCTAGGGGGCCGACCGCCAGAGCTAGGACAGGCTAGGGGGCCGGGCCACCTGGTCAATTATATCCATGACTTACATATCAGATCCATGTAAAAAATTTGATAAGAAAGGGGGGGGGCAGGGGGTCCAAAAATAGTTCTCTAGGAAATTGCCGGGGGGGATTAAGATAGGTTTATTAGGACGGATTTGGTCTTAATTCATAGACACAAAGAATTATTCATAAAAATATTAAGCAATTATTAATATTTCCTTTAAAATTGTATACCTCCGAATGTTGACCTGCACCTATATGGACTCCTACAAAACCATTATGCAATCCATCCTTACCCATCCTTCACATCTGAAAAATTGATGAATAATGTCTAGGAAATTGGAAATCATTTATAGATGTACTTCATTCTAAAGCTATTTTCATATGAGAGAAGTGAAATTTTTCAGTAGGAATAACTCATAAATAGACTTTACAGGGAATGCTTTGTGTCAGTGCTTAGGATCCGGATCCGTAAAAATATGCAGATCCACGGATCCGGATTCAAGGGGTAAAATATCAACCAAAGTGCAACAAACTTTTTTAATCCTAAAACCCCAAATCTGAACTTTTGAAAAAATTGAGATTATAAAAATTTCCTCATTTCAAAATGGTTCATCAAGTTTTAGGATATAACTAAGTGAAAAAAATAAAACAAAAAATTTGAAAAATCTTCTTTTGTTCAGAAAATTCAGAAAATCTTGAAGAAATGACCTGGATCCGGATCCACATCCGCATCAAAATTAAATAGATCCTAAGCAGTGCTTAATGTATTACTACTCAATCAACAAGTTTCTTCAGACTCCATTGCAGAAAATGGGTAATTTCCTAGTTTACGATTTTTGGACCCCCCCCCTCCTATCAATTTTGTACATGGGTGTGACAGTTTCAGTAACAGTAAAAAGTGGTACATAAAAACAGATTCGTTGAATAATTACCAGTTAATTAAGACTTTTATAATTTGAACCAACGGAGAGTAATGGTGAGAGAATATAAATTAAACAAAAAATCCTAGTTTTATTAATCAAATTATCCGAGACCCAACTCTTTTGATCCTGGTTTAAATCTAATAAGATACAAAAGATTAAAGGCCGCTTCGTCAGACAAGTATCTTAATCGTAGGATAAACCTACGATTAATAAATCCTAGGTAGCCGATATAAGTTGGAGGATTCGATTGTTTGCGTGAGTGTGTGTGAGAGTGTTTTGTGTGTGTTCATTGGGCGTAAGCCGCACATCCTTAAAACGAGTCGTCTTTGTTTCGAATGTGAGATCTCTTATTAGAAAGACGACATTCATACAAAAGACGACACTTTGTAAGAACAGCTGATCAATTGTATTATTCAACAATTCCTGTCTGCTAGACTGCTAAGTACGTGATACGTCATAACAACACATTTGTAACTACAGTGATTATATAAAATCTGGCAAACTGCCATTCTCCTTTCCTCTAGTGGTGCTTTGTGTTTTAAGAATTAGTTTAAACAAATCTATTCACGCGATTCAGAGGTTGGTGGAATTTTTTAGTTTTCTTGATTTTTATCAAGCTGATTGTGATGAAGACATGAGTAGCAACAACTTTATAGCAGCCATGGATCGCGTTGTTTACTTTAAATTCACGTTCTGATATTTTTGAGTCATAATTTTTAACGTAAAAATTTAGACTCTCTAAACCCCTCTCTTATTAAGATACATGATACTCGATTTTTACTTGAAAATATTTTTACATATGATTAGGATAATGCATATATTTTTTATTACTATCAAATGAATGAGACTTCTGACCCCAAACCTTCCATAATGTATCGTTATATATATTATTAACTAAATTTCCCGGTGTTGGCCGTAAAATTAATGAAAATTTGATTTTTGAAAAAACACTTATTTTAAAAATCCATTTTTTAGCCTTTGTTCCCCCCTAGTTACCCATGGGTTCCCTCCAAAAGTTTCAGCCAATTCGGTCTAGCCGTTTGGCCAGCTATAGCTAACTTATATACAAATATACAAATATATGTATATACACGCGAAGAGCTAATTATGTTCTAGAAGATGTTTGTTTAGAATAATGTCGGTGACTGGAATATTTAGTCGAACTGCACGCAGTGTTGTTCCTCATTTAACCAGAGGGGTTTCTTCCACACAAACCCCTATCCAGGTATTCTATTCTCGGGTACGCTCCCTATCCAGGTATTTTATTCTCGGGTACGCTCCTTATCCAGGTATTCTATTCACGGGTACGCTCCCTATCCAGGTATTCTATTCTCGGGTACGCTCCCTATCCAGGTATTCTATTCTCGGGTACGCTCCCTATCCAGGTATTCTATTCTCGGGTACGCTCCCTATCCAGGTATTCTATTCTCTGGTACGCTCCCTATCCAGGTATTCTATTCTCGGGTACGCTCCCTATCCGGGTATTCTATTCTCGCTCCCTATCCGGTAATTTCCTAGAGAAATATACGTATTTTCAGGTTTGCATCAAACCATTAAACTGTTAAAAAAATCCAATCTTTTAAGTAAAGAAAAACGAAAAAATACGTAAAAATACGAAAAATTAAAACCTGAAAATTTGAAAAAGTATTCGCAATTATTCGTAAAAATACGTTTCTGGAAAACCTTAGCACTGAAAAAAACGCTTGGTATGATAAATACGTAAATATACGCAAGTTCTTTACCAAAAAGTTGAGCATAAGTATTTTTACGTAAATCTACCTAAAAATACGTATACCTATATAGAGGCTTTAGTATTTTTAGGTTTTTATGGTTATTAGGGACGGTTTAAAAAAATTTTCTGGGAAACCTTCAAATTTTACAATCCTTGACTAATTTGGAATAGGACAATTTGAATAAACATAATTTTTTTTATATTTAGAAGATTAGTGCGAAATTTAATGATTTGACTTAAAATAACTATAACAATAATTTCAAATAATTAACAAATATAAACTGAAAGGTTTTCTAGCAGAGGAAGGGTAGGGGTAATTTGATAGAATAAATGTAAAACACTGCAAAAATACCATGTTAGGCTGCCAGCACTGCAGCTATTGTCACAGAGAAGAAGCTTACCGAGAAACCAGTTTTTGATTACGCCGATGCTCTCAACCTGGAATGTCGTTTAACTGATGATGAGAAGATGGTCCGTGACGTGTTTCATGATTATTGCCAGGTTAGACCACTTCTTTTTCTTCTGGGGGGGGGGGGTCATTATTATTTATTTAGCTTTATCTTTGAAACAATGGCGTCTCTGTTTATGAAAATTGACAACATATAGCCAAAGATTCTTTAAAACAGACTTGCCGTTAGGAAATGGGTGTTGGGACATTTCATAGATGGGACATTTCATCGAAAAAAATGTTTCATACAGGGTGTCCCACGAAACATGACAGTTGGCGAATAGTTTAGAATGTCTTTTTCCATTATTTTTTTAAGTTGTTTGATACCAAAGATCAATAAAAATATTATATTGGAGTCATGTTGTATTAAGATTATTTCAAAGTAAAAGATAATGAAGCAACAGATTTTTTTGACTAAAAATAACGATTTATTAAATGTCATGTTTCGTGGGACACCCTGTAGATAAAATAAACTTTTAAAAAGACCTATTTATGAAAAGTCCTATTTATGAAATGTCCTATCCATGAAACGTCCTATCTGTGATTTTGTTATCTATGAACAGTCTTTTTTTATTTAATGTCCCAACACTAGAAAATGGCATTGATTTCTACAATTTCAGACAGAAAAATTTCAATAACTACGCTGTACGCTGTCATTTTAAAGTCAGGGTTACTGTGGTGAATCGGTCAGGGCTTCATGCATAGATAAGGAGTGTTGACAATTCTTTTTAGTTACTGTATTTTAAAATCCTCAGGAGAAACTGATGCCCCGTGTAACTATGGCGAATAGACATGAGACTTTTGACAGAGAGATTATGAGTGAGATGGGAGAACTAGGAGTACTAGGCCCAACCATACAGGTATATCAAGCCCGGAGGGGGGGGGGGGGATTTAGAAATGGGGAGAGCTGGGATAACTGAGGTTTTAGTGTGAAAAATTCTTTAAAGGCGGGGAACCCCATTTTTCAGCCAAGAACTCTGTAGCCAAGTTTACGTGAAACATCAAACTACGGATTTTATTTCTTAAAACATTCAAAATCATTTGCTGGCAAGGGGGGGGGGTGCAAAAAAATTTCATTATTTCTTCTGAAAAATTGGTTTTTATATTTATATTTTTATTCACCAAGGGTTATGGATGTCCCGGTGTATCCTATGTTGCCTATGGACTGATTGCCAGAGAGGTTGAAAGAGTAGATTCGAGCTACAGGTAGGACTAGGGAGTAGATTTAAGCTACAGGTAGGACCAGGGAGTAGATTTAAGCTACAGGTAGGACCAGGGAGTAGATTCAAGCTACAGGTAGGACCAGGGAGTAGATTCAAGCTACAGGTAGGACCAGAGAGTAGATTTAAGCTACAGGTAGGACCATGGAGTAGATTCAAGCTACAGGTAGGACCAGGGAGTAAATTCAAGCTACAGGTAGGACCAGAGAGTAGATTTAAGCTACAGGTAGGACCAGGGAATAGATTCAAGCTACAGAATTACATTATATTTATTTAAGCAGATTAAAAAAATGCTTTAAAGATGTTTCACAGTGCTGTGCTCTAGTGTAAACGGCCTGCTTATCAATATTTTTGATGCGAAACCTTAATTCCTATTAAAGTAATGAATAAAATAACCATGGGTTGGGAGAAATTTCTAGAATTATATTTTAAAAGTTCAGAAAAGTTCAGTTTTATTGTTTGTTTTTGTTTGGGGGGNAACCTATATTCTAGATCTGCTATGTCAGTACAATCCTCCCTTGTAATGTACCCAACCTATATTCTAGATCTGCTATGTCAGTACAATCCTCCCTTGTAATGTACCCAATCTATGATTTTGGAAGTGAAGAGCAAAGAGAAAAATATCTTCCCAAGCTTGCCAGGTATTTTACATCTACTGATTAATTGTGTAAATAAAATATATTTAACGAAAGCCTCCTAAAGGAACTGTAAACCTTATTCCAAAGCAGAGTTCATAGGAGTATCCTGGCACTTGATTTCCTTGATTTCAGCTTAAAAATAATTTTCTCTATAACGTTTTACAGTTCACTGTTGTGAATCTTACATGCCAATCTTGAAATGGATGTTAACTATTAATAATTTCCCTTTTTATTTATTATATTAAGAATTAATTCTTCTTTCTAATATTATTCTAAAAATTGAATATGAAAATATTTGGACTTCTATTTTTATAAAAATTGATCAATTCCGCCTCTAACTTTTCCAAAGAATTAAAATATCAAGGTTTCTGTCCATTCGAATAGTTACATAAAAACTACGTTTATATCATTTTTTTTAAATTTGAATTTTGACCCTTACTTTTTATTTATTTCTAGAGGCGAATTAATTGGTTGTTTTGGACTAACTGAACCTAATCATGGATCTGATCCCGCTCATATGGAAACCAGGGTAATTTTTTAAGATTTCAATAAAAGTTCAGTTGATTAACTACCCAGATCAACAAAATGTAGCTTAGAAATAAGTTTATGGAGAGAAAAGGATGAAAAAGAGAAATCAACAAAAATAAAAATGATATGATTTCAGTTCAGTGCAGTGTATTCAAAAATTACGATAAGATACTATAAAATAGTTCAAAAATGGCAGCAATACTGTGCTGTTCAACTTATATTAATTTATTCTTTTTATTTGATATTTTTAAACAAAAAATTAACAAAGATTTTAAGTTAATAACAATTTGTGTGTAGCTATACATAACTGTCTGGTATCATTGTCTGTAAAAGAAAAACTTAAGACTCAGGAGATGCTTTTCATTGGGGTCGAGAGTTTGGAAGGATAGTGTTAAAGTTTCTTTTGACGGTTAGATTTCTTTATTGTAAGGCAAGTAAGTAAGAAGTGTAAAATTTAACTTATGTTATACATGAAACAGGATAAGTTTCAATCAGATGGCTGTAAGAACTGGACTTACTCTGCACTTTAACTAGACTAAGTTGCAATCAGATGTTTAGGTCTGGCTACTGAATTATTCTTTTTATTAACTAGGCTAAGTTGCAATCAGTTGGTAAGGTCTGCCTACTGATTTATGCTGCACATTAACTAGGCTAAGTTGCAATCAGATGATAAGGTCTGGCTACTGAATTATTCTTTATATTAACTAGGCTAAGTTGCAATCAGATGGTAAGGTCTGGCTACTGAACTATTCTGTATATTATCTAGGCTAAGTTGCAATCAGATGGTAAGGCCTGGCTACTGAATTATTCTGTATATTAACTAGGCTAAGTTGCAATCAGATGGTAAGGTCTGGCTACTGAATGGCAGTAAGAACTGGATTACAAATTCTCCTATTGCTGACGTATTTGTTGTATGGGCTCAGACTGATGAAGGTTTAAGGTAAACACATCTTGGAATTTTTTCTAAACATATTTTTTCCTTTTTGCTAATTGATTGGTTGAAGTTAAAGACTTGAAGGAAAAAATTTCCTTATTCCTTGTTTTATTTTTGTTGGTGCAACCACTTACAGTTATCTCGTTCTTTTAAATAAATAAAAATTATTTATAATAATAATCATTCAGTTTTCACATTTTTAAATTTTAGCTAAATAAACTACACCTAGTATAAGTAGTTCTAGAGAGTATATCCGCATGTAATTAATGCTAGAATTTAAAATGAACATAAAATTGTTAGTCTGATTGATTGATTGATTGATTGATTGATTACTGGATTGATTTGTTACTAGATTGATTACTTCAATTATTGATTCGTTATTGGTTAATTATTGATTGATTATTGATTAATTATTGAGTATTACATATTGATTATATATTTATTATATATTAATTATATATTAATTATATATTGATCACATAATGATTACATATTGATTATTGATTGATTCTTGATAGATTATTTATTGTTATTGTATTAATTTTTTTATTGATGATTGATTATTAATCGATTTTTGATTGATTATTCAATGATTATTGATTGATTGTTGATTTAATATTAATTTACTATTTATCAATTATATTTGGAATAAATATTGGTAATATATTGATTACATATTGATTATATTTTGATTTCATATTTATTATTGATTAATTATTGATTGGTTATAATTTGATTATTGATTGATTATTGATCAATAATTGATTGATTTCTATTTAGAGGATTTATCCTTGAGAAAGGTATGAAGGGATTAACCGCCCCTAAAATTGAAGGAAAATTTTCTCTCCGAGCCTCCACAACAGGTTTAATAATATTCTTAATATATATTATCTAAAATGATATTTATTATCTAGGAATAATAGTTATTATCTAGAAATGAAAGTTAGTATCTATGAATGATGTTTTTTTATCTAGGAATGCACTGTATTATTTAGGAATGCTTTTATTTTATAGGAATGATATTATTATTTAGGATTGATATATATTATCTAGGAATGATATTTATAATCTATGAATGATAATTATAATCTAGAAGTAATTCATTTATTATGTAGAAATTATGATTTTTATCTATTATATATCTATCTAGAAGTTACATTTACTATCTTGTGATGATATTTACTATCTATAAAAATTAATTATTATCTAAGAATTATATTTATTATCTAGGAATTATATTTTTTATCTAGAAATAATATGTACTATCTTTTAAAGTCATTAATTATCTAGAAGTGATAATTATTAAGAAATTATATTTATTATCTAGGAATGATATTTAATATCTAGAAATCATTTTTATTATTTAGGAACGATATTTATTACCTAGAAGGAATATTTTATTTAATATCTAGAAATTACATTTATTATCTATAAAAGTTATTTATTATCTAGAAATTTTAATTATTATCTCGGAATGATATTTATTATCTAGGAATGATATTTACTATCAAGGAATATATTTATTATCTAGGAATGATAATTATTATCTAGGAATGATTTTTTTTATCTAGAAATGATATTTATTATCTAGGAATGATATTTATTATCTAGGAATGATATTTATTATCAAGGAATGATATTTATTATTTAGGAATGATATTTACTATCAAGGAATGATATTTATTATCTAGGAATTCCATTTTTTATCTAGAAATTATATTTATTATCTAGGAATGATATTTAATATCTAGAAATTATATTTATCATTTAGGAATCATATTTATTATCTAGAAGTGATATTTAATATCTAGAAATTATATTTATCATCTATAAAAGCTATTTATTATTTAGAAATTTTAATTATTATCTAGAAATGATGAGTTTTATATATGAATGATATTCATTATCTAAGAATGATATTTATTATCTAGGCATGATATTTACTATCAAGGAATGATATTTATTATCTAGGAATGATGTTTATTATCTAGGAATGATATTCATTATCAAGGAATGATATTTATTATCTAGGAATTATATTTTTTATCAAGGAATAATATTAATTATCTAGGAATGATATTTATTAGGAATAATATTTATTATATAGGAATGATATTTATTATCTAGGAATGATGTTTATTATATAGGAATGATATTTAATATCTAGGAATGTTATTTATTATTTAGGAATGATATTTATCATCTAGGAATGATATTTATCATCTAGGAATGATATTTATTATCTAGGAATGATATTTATGGATGATGTTGAGGTTCCCATGGAGAATATGCTCCCGAACGTAAAAGGATTTAAGGTTAGAATGTAGGATATATTTATTTCAGGCTGTTTTGTGGGTTTTATTGTACGGTAAAAATATTCTTAGTATTTTTGCCGAAATATAGATATAAGTGGAGAAAATATTTTAGGATATTTGTGAAAAGTAAATTAATTTGTCTGGTACATTCTTTTGCTGTTACAATTTTTCAATTTTATTCAGAGCATCAAAATTCAGGGGGGTAGTGGGAATTATAGAAAATATTTAGCCCTGTATTTTGGATTCTTTCATAAATATTTAAATCAATAATAAAAAAATTTTGATTTTCAGGGTCATTTTTTTGGTGAGTCTCTTAATGACAACCTGAATGTTATTTAAATAAAACAATTGGAAAGTTGAATTTTATTTAATCTGTCTTTAATATTATCTATTAATAGTATACTTATTGATTTGGCAAAGGTATAAACAAATAATCAATGGTAACACTGTAGAACATAAATATTTAAGGGTCCTTCCTATACTTTAATGTATAAAAATAATGTTTCAGGGACCATTGAATTCTCTAAAACTCAATGTAAACAAATAGACAGAAAAATAATTTTTTAGTGCCCATTCCATATATTTTGAATGGAAAAATTATATTTCAGGACCCAATTTCTATAGTTTTAATGTGGAAAAATAATGTTTCAGGGCTAATTCTCTATATGTTAATGTAGACAAATGATATGCCCATTCTCTATATTTTAATGAAGAAATATTATATTTCAGGGTCCATTCTCTTGTCTGAATAATGCAAGATATGGTATTGCCTGGGGAGCTCTGGGCGCTGCTGAGTTTTGTGTTGCTCAGGTAGAAAACTTTAAAATTATTTTAGAGAAAGGAACTGTCATCATTATTCTAAGGGACTCTTCTTTTAGAGAAAGGAACTGTCATCATTATTCTAAGGGACTCTTCTTTTAGAGAAAGGAACTGTCATCGTTATTCGGGACTCTTCTTTTAGAGAAAGGAACTGTCATCATTATTCTAAGGGACTCTTCTTTTAGAGAAAGGAACTGTCATCGTTATTCTAAGGGACTCTTGTTTTAGAGAAAGGAAATGTCATCGTTATTCTAAGGGACTCTTCTTTTAGAGAAAGGAACTGTCATCATTATTCTAAGGGACTCATCTTTTAGAGAAAGGAACTGTCATCATTATTCTAAGAGACTCACTCTTCTTTTAGAGAAAGGAACTGTCATCATTATTCTAAGGAAATCTTCTTCTAGAGAAAGGAACTGTCATCGTTATTGTGAGGGACTCTTCTTTTAGAGAAAGGAACTGTCATCATTATTCTAAGGAACTCTTGTTTTAGAGAAAGGAATTGTCATCGTTATTCTGAGTGACTCTTCTTTTAGAGAAAGGTGTCCCAAATTGCAAAATTACCCTTCAAACCTTTGGTGGATCAAGAATGAAAAAATATCCATATTTTTTAGTTGATATTTCATAATATTTTGTATTTTTCATCATCTGAGAGTTACTTTTGAAAACATTTATCCCTGTTTCGAGGATTTTTGATAATCAAGACGACATTTTCATATTTTCCAGGAATGTTCGAAAATCCAGCGCCAGGGAAAATTATTTTAAAGAACAAAATCAAAAATTATGAAATATTAACTATATACGAATGCGTCGAAAAATAATCGATGACTACTGTTTGTAATTAATATCTGAATGATTTGTTTGGAATTAAATTGATTTTTTTACGATCCGAGTTGAATGTTGCATCTTTCCGAATATGTCGGTCTGGGGATCCCACGTTGGGGGTCTTCCACGATCTATCTTTCATTTCATTTCATTTCATGGACGCTGCGTTCTTCGGTGTGAGTCGTTTTTAACAATTTTCTCCTTATAGACGCAACAGACAGAAGTAAGATTAGTAGCGATCAAAAGCGCTTTTTTATCGCATTAAGCCTATACCCCCTTTCAATTTTCGCAAACACTCCCTTTAAGTCTAATTTCTATTGTCCATCTTAACCTGGGAAGCTTAGCTTGAGTTTCTTTAGTCCATCCTTTATCTCCTCCCAAGGAGATTACTGTAGAGTATGTTACATCTACCGGTCTGTTAACTTAATCAAATTTCTTCACACCAACAAGTGTCCTGGAGAATAAACAAGCCCAGTACTCCTCCAGTTCTCCCCTAGATATGGCTTGTGTAACTTCAAGGTTACCTGCTAATACCGCTTGAAGGCAGTTTGAAGGGCTTCGCTCAAAAAATGACTGAGGGGTCTCAGCCTTGCCTTATTTCTTGACGGTTTTATTTGTGCAGTTTCCCTTAAAGATTTCAGCATTAGATTTCCTTCCTACCTAATCTATTTGATCCCATGATCCGTAACCGAGCCATCAATCCCCTGTATTGACCCACTCTCCTGGGGGTCCCAGACAGTGCCTGTTTTTTTTATTTTTATTTTTATTGGCAGGCTTCAACTAACATAAATAATTACAATTTTGACATTCATTTTACACATACTAATTTAGGCTCGTCAGTACACTCTGGACAGGAAACAGTTTGGTAAACCTCTGGCAGCAAACCAGCTCATTCAGAAGGTAAGGAAACAACAACAATAATTAAAAATAAATAACAACAGAAAATAGACTACAGTCTACAAACTCTAAGAAATGTCCAAATATAATTTGAGGTCTATTATTTTCAACTAATTATAGTTTATTTAGAAAATTTCTAATCATTTTGAAATATTTAATCTATTTTTTATCTAAAAAACTTTTGTAGCTGAAAACTTCAGAATGGTGGATATTGAGATTTAGGCTTGATCCTCTCTTTTTCTTAATCTCTAGACTAACCTTGTACTTGTATCCTGAAAAGTGTATAATTTTAAACCAATCAGAGTCGCCTATATGAAGCCGATAAATTTAAAATTTTGCGCGCCATTTAATATTATATAGTATACAGAGTCAGACACGGGAGGGACTCTCTAAATTTAAAAAACCGGTTTTTGATTTTTCTATACTATACCCAAGAAAGAACGGGTTAAAAAGAAAATCAAAATCATTGGATACTCAGATTAAGTAATCGGGATTAAGTATATCTCATTCAAAAGTTTTTAGCTCTGATTTTATCATATTATTATATTATCTGAAAAATTATTTTTTTATTGGAAGGTTAAATAGTTTGCCCATGCCCACGATCACAAAAGATGAGACCTTGATGGTGTCTATTAACTCTTAAACTTGAACAATCTTTAATTGTTAAATTTAGTATTCTTCCTTTAAATAAATAAGTCTTTATAAGGTACATTTATTAATTTGAAAAAAAAACTACCATGAGAACACTGTCGAGATGAATGAGTAAAAGAATAAATTAATTGAGTACAGCTGTCTCTAAAGTATCATCTTCTGTAGATAACCCTTTAACATAGATTTTTACTTCTTATTAATTATTTATTAATTATTATTGTAGAAACTAGCTGATGCAGTTACAGAGATTTCTCTTGGTCTTCATTCTTGTCTTCAACTTGGAAGGTTTGTATCTACTATAGTCGCTGGAAAGAGAGTGATTAAGAAAAATTAAATGGGGTTTAATGACAAATAGGGGGTTATGAATCAAACGGTGACGTTTATTTTAATTTTGTTTACTTTCTTCCCTGCTTACTTGATGTCGTGTTCAGAGTTACGACTTTGTGACCTAAGGTAGCTCATATAGTTTTCTTTTTACCTCCATGGAAAATGGTTGCAAATAAGAAATTCAACACAACTAAATTAAATGAAAAACGTAATTTTTACAATCTTCCATGAATTTTACTTTAATATGACATACCGTGGGGCAGACATTATTTTTGTGCCATTTCGAAACTAAGATTAAAATTAACGGTTCTTCTAGAACTTTAAGATTGTGAATAAATAATTAGTTTCTCGAGGTAAACATTTTGAGAATTAAGCGTTTTGGGGAGAAAAATAAAAATAAACCTTTTTTGTTAAATTATCTTAAAAAGATGATTTTTAAGAAATTATAAACCCCTTTTCTCTTTTTTAAAGAAATCAGGAAATGATAAATATAAAACGAATAGATAAAAAATCTGATTTTCTAGATTGAAGGAGGAGGGTAAACTAGTTCCTGAGATGATTTCTATTCTGAAGAGGAATAATTGTGGAAAAGCTCTAGATATTGCCAGACAATGCAGGTGAATCAATTTATGGATTTAAAGAAACACAAAAGGTTCTAGAAATAATTTTCATTTCGTATAATTTTTATATTAATACAGACAATGTCAAACAGATAAAACAGACAATTTGGTCTTTGGCTAGATCTAATTGAGAACAGCCACTATTGAGTATTCTATTATTTTAACCTCTAATTTACAGAAGCAAACTTTCCAATTAGAAAATGAAAGAATAAAAGACCCCATCTGATGGTCTAGAATAAAGATTTTATATTGTGATCTTAACTTGCAACTTTAAATGCATTTAAGGGACTATAAGTTTCGCGCATGCCTCGTTCAATAACAAGACATAGAGAGAGCATGCGCGTAACTCCTTTGGGCTTTTGCCTCAAGGTTATTGTGAACTAAATCTCCCTAAAGCTCTAAAAGACGACATCTCGTGTTCTATCTTTATTGTTATTAATCTATGAATATATTCAATTTTATTGTTTATCTAGGGATATGTTGGGAGGAAACGGAATATCCGATGAATATCATATTATCAGGTGAAAAAAAATATTTTCTTTACAAAATTTTTTTTCAACAATTTTCTTAAGGAAAACATTTATTTTTGTAGAGGAGTGTTTGGGTGTTTTACAGTCTTGAACAGGGTGTCCCAATAAACATGGGAATTCAGTGACGAATTCGATATCGTCTTTTTAAATAATTCTTTGTTTTAGTATAGTGATACCTACTGAGAAAGCTGTAATTTCGTCTAATATGTTCACATTTTGTTTGTTTATGTTTTGACTGTATACGGTTGTACTTAGTAAAACAAGAAATAACTTGTTCGTCGCCATTGTTCATCTTGCGGAGACATTATAGATACATCTTTACAGTCTTTTACCATTTTCATAAAATAAACTCCAGCAGACATAATAATATTATGGCTTTTGAAATTAGGTATTACAATGCTAATTCATAACAAAGACGATATC